GTCTGTGTGTGTGTGTGTGTGTGTGTGTGTGTGTGTGTGTGTGTGTGTGTGTGTTTAAATCCCATGGCGGAATGGCTTCCATAGTAAAGACATTAATAATGTAAAAAAAAATTATGTTTCAAATAAATGCTGTTCTTTTTAACTTTCTATTCATCAAAGAATCCTGGAAAAATGTATCATGGCTTTCACAAAAAATACTATTAAAATATATGATAATTATAGTAAATGTTTTTTGAGCAGCAGATCAGCATATCAGAATGATTTCTGAAGGATCATGTGACACTGGAGACTGGAGTAATGATGCTGAAAATTCAGCTTTGCATCACAGAAATAAATGACATCTTAATATATTTTCAAATAGTAAACAGTTATTTTAATTTGTAATAATATTTCACAATATTACCATTTTTACTGCATTTTTAACCAAATAAATGCAGCTTTGGTGAACAGAAGAGACTCCTTTCAAGAACATTACAAAATCTTACCAACCCCACTACTGAACAGTAGCTTAAATTATATGTTTTTCCCTTAAAATATATATTTTGTACATTTCTAAATGACAACTATATGTTTTTCTTTCACTAAATATAACACATAGAAAAGGGGATTATCATAGAGACCCAGTCCCAGAACGCTCTTGCATAGACAAACACATCCACATTTTATTCCGAAAATAAATATCTAGTTGGTTCAACAATCAGAAGAAAAAAAAATAGCTAAAAACACTGATTAATAAAGGAAATTACTATATTCCAAGATATTGGGTTTCTATTGTGGGATGAGGCCAGAGAGGGAGAGAGAGCTTTGCTGTAGGTTTCAAAGGGGCCCGTGTTTTGATACAGGCGGTCCTGTGGGGGGACGGGGGCCTCTGTCTGGGAGAATCACTACGGCACCGTTATGGAGCTTAAGTCTGGATCCACTCTAATAAAAAATACTCAAACCAAACAGGCCCTAAATTCGCATGGGCCTGGGAGCTACCTGCGGCCCTTCAGCCGTGCTTATTTAATAAGAGACGCTGCCGAGGGCGGGAGCCTGAGGAACACCACTGGTGCACTAGTGAGGGAATGACGTAAGAAATGATTCATCTCATTAGCTCAAAGATATATATGTCTATGGTGGCCCAAAAGGTATTTTGGCATTTAAGTCATGATTTAAAGTATCTGAATTTCATTGAATTGGATAACAAATCAAAGCAAATGTCATTTATTGTAAAGAAGGATGCACAAATACACAAGTTTCTAAGCAAAACATTTCACAATAAAACGTTTGAAGTGGTAAAACAAAAGACAGAGATAATAGTTTGTTTGATATTTGTTATTCAATACCATGAAATTCATGATTTCTCAGTGCAGCTTAAGTGTGATTTTAACATTATTTATATACAACTATAACTTTTATTAATGTTTTGATTTAGCATTTATTTTATGTCTTCAGTTTAATTTTTAGTAATTTTATCAGATTTTGACATTTTTTTAGCTTTTGTTTTTTTGCTTACGTCAGTGTTATTTTAGTATTATTTATACAGTATACTATTATAGTTTTTATTAATATTTTAAATTTGCTTTTATTTTTTATGTCTTTGCTTTAGTTTTTAGTCATTTTATTTGTGTTTGACATTTCTTTAGCTTTTTTAGCATAAGGCAGTGTTATTTTTGCATTATTTATTTACTATTACAGGTTTTATTAATGTTTTCAATTAACATTTATTTTTCATGTCTTTGTCTTCAGTTTAATTTTCAGTAATTTTGTTTGCTTTTGACATTCCAAGCTTTTTTTTTAATAGTCAGTGTTTTTTATTTTTTATTTAATGTACTATTATATATGTTTTATTACTGTTTTGAATACGCTTTTTTTTTCCAGTTACTTTTTTAGTCATTTTAAGTGCTTTAGATTGTTTGAATATTAACTTTTTAGGTTTAAATTAAAAAAAAATTCAGATTTTGTTTGAGTTCAGTTTTAGTTTTTATGTATTATAATATGTTTTATATTTGATATTTTATTTAATACATTATTTAATTTCAGCTTGATTTCAGTTAACAAAAATGTTGTGAATAGTTTTATTTACAGTATAGTCAACAATAATAACCCAGGTTTAAGTGTCCAAAGTCGTTTTGGGGCTATACTATATTCAGAAGTAGCTGAGTATGTCTGTGTTTACCAGGTTTAATCTCCTCTGTTCATTCACCTCTCTGTGAGATAAACAGACATAGAGAAAGAAAGAGAGAGAGGCAACTTGAAAGACTTGTGTTTTCCCTGTATGTAAAACAGAATGAAAAGTAACATTTGTTTTTGCTGCCTGTTCGTTTCCCCCTGTAATGCGCACAATCAAGGCCACAGAAGAGGCTAAATGCATTATACATTACCAAGTGGCACCACGCACTTGGCCGTGATCCTGCCGCTGTTGTCACTTTAGGTTATTTGAAGAGGAAAGTGCTTTAGCCAAAGACTGGAGCACTTTTCTCTCTCTTTTGCATATGAAGTGGAGGCAGGCTCGAGAGAAGCCAAGCTTAAACTGCTATCCTACTGAGACAGAGATGCTCTGAGCTCTTCTGCAGCTTTGCCTTCACACACTGGGGTGTCAATAGACTTACAACACGCACCAAAACACTGGCGAGATAGAGACCATTGCGCAATATGTGTGACAAGCGTATCTAACTGAGAAGTAGAAGTACTACTGCAGGTTTTCCCAATATGTTTTTTCAAGAACTTATTTAATATAATTAATTTTATTTTAATTTTAACATTAGAATTAGTATTTTTTGAATTTTTATTTAATGCATTGGAATGAATTCATTTTTATTTAATGCATTCAAATCTGACCTTCCATATAGTCATGGTATCAATAAAAAGGTTCATTTAATTAAAAACGGGCTATATTATGGCTGCTGTACTGCTGTTTTATATTACAGTATTACATTGTTAGCTTAGCAAGATGTTACCATCAAAAATAGAAATTTGAAATTGTAGTCTTGAAGTGACAGTGATTTAAATAAAACGTTTAAATGTGATCTTAAATTTTTACCATTGTGACAAGTATGTTCATCTATAAATAGAGGACTTCTGGGGTAGGTTACTACAAGTTTTGCCAATAATCTTTCAATAATTGATTTTAATATATTTTATTATTTGACAATATATATATTAAAATGTAATTTTTTCCCTGTGGTGCAAAGCTGAATTTTCAGCAGCCATTACTCCAGTCTTCAGTGTCATATGATTCTTTCAGTGTTATACTGTATAGTATTATAATACTATTATAGTTTGTATTATTATATAGTTTTTATATTATTATATTGAATTGGTTTTCATTTTATGTTTTGTTTTCATTTTAATTTTAGTTCATATAATTTAGTTTATATTTTATTTTTGTATTTTTATTAACATCAAATTGTACTGGAATTGTTGTCTTGAGTTTTTTTTTTTTTGGTAGTGCAAAGTGTAATTTTGAAATCTTATCCATTTAATTCTCTCTTACCTAAGATTACTGTGATAAGTTTTAAATGAGACATTTTGTATAGTGCCACCTGCAGGTCAATCAATGAATCTCACTCTAATTAGTTTGTGTAATGAGTTTAACATCACTATTAATATTACTCCTACTTGATTTGAGACTCTTTTGGCTCGGGGCATTTTATCTTTAAATTATTCTTGAGTTTAAAATAATGTAAATTGTTTTCTGAAAAGTGTTGAAAGTTCAATTAAAATACTATTAATATTCATTGTTTTGCATTCTTCGCTGTATTCCTGTCGTAAACCTATAGCTCTTTGACATCAAGAGCTGTTAAACTTCAGGAATGCCAAATCAATACACCGATCCACGCAAGTGTGTACTAAAAAAAGCAAGTTCAGCCCACTTTATCACAGTCTGTTTTCTTCAAGGCGAGAAATGTGAGTTTTATTCCATTTCTGAGCCAGTGAGTCCCACACAAACAATCTCTGACATGGATGTACCATTGATTTCACATTCACCCGTCCAAACTTAAAGAGGCGATGGGATTGTGTGTGAATCCTCAAACCTGTGTGCAACCCGACTCTGTCAGGCTGACACCAGCTCCTCTCTCTGTAAACTGCCCAGATTATTCACTCAACAGGATCTTTCTCCTTTTATCCGCTGAACCGCAGGCCAATCCATGTGCTGACAGCCCTGCGATAGTATACAGATGGAAATAAGGAGAAAGAGTGGCTCTGTTTGTTAAACTTGCCGCTGATAGATGGTTGGCATTCGTCGCTCCTTGACATAATTCACCTGACCAGGAGGTCAAGAGTATAAAAATCCAAACAGCAGACATATAAGGAAGCGTTTAGAAAGCACAGTTTAAGGATCTGATCTGATCTATTTCAGATGAACCATAAATGTAAGATTTTTGATATTTATTTTGATTATTTTGATAGAAGTCTTTTATGATCATCAAGGCTGCATTTTTTTGACGAAAATATAGTAAAAAATGTGAAATATTATTACAATTTAAAATAACTGGTTTGTATTTGAATATATGTTAAAGTGTAATTTATTCCTGTGATGAAAAGCTGAATTTTCAGCATCATTACTCCAGTCTTCAGTGTCACATGATCCTTCCAATGATATGTTAGTATCACTGAGATACAATTACAGTTTGTATTAATATCTCACATTTTAGATTTTGTTTTCATTTTAATTTTAGCAAAAGTTTGAATAATTTTGTTGTGTAATTTAGTTTATCTTTTGAATAGTTTTAATTCATTTTTAATTATTTCATTACATTTTATTCAGTTATTTTAGTGCATTAAGTTGAATGAAATGAAATATTGCTTAGTTACATGAAGTTTTTTAATATCTTTATTTCAGTTACAGTAACACAAGTGTGTTTTATGGTTTTACTTTTAACTATAAATTCACTGGATCTTTCAGAAAGCATTCTACTATGCTGATTTGCTGCTCAAGAAATGTCTTATTTCTTATCATTATTAATGTTGAAAACAGTTGTGCTGCTTAACATTTTGGTGAAAACTCTGATACATTTGATTTTTCATGAGTATTTGATGAATATAATGTATTTATTAGAAATATCAATCTTTTGTAACATTATACATGTCTTTACTGTCACTTTTGATCAATTGAATGTGTTCTCGCTGAATAAAAGTATTAATTTCCTTCAAACAGAATCTTCATGACCCCAAATTTTGAATGGTAGTGTTTGTTAGTGATTTGTAGTATTTTGTGTTGTAAATGAAGGAGTTTTGATATCTGTTCCCTGCGTTCTGCCTTATCAGACCTTTTCTTTTTTCCAGCATAAATGCTGTCCTCCTCTTAAAAAGGAGGGTGGAGAGGAGGGCCTGATTCATGTCGTACACACTAGCAGGCTATTATGCATGAAGAATTGATTGCTGAAGCGCCGTGGCCGGTGTTGGATCTTGATGGCGCCGCTGAAATGTCACTTTACTGATGTTACAATGCGGGAGATATTAAAGCCAGCCAGATTCAAAGACTTCCATTTGTTTCTGATCCACTCCCACTGTGTGCTTGAGCACGACACTGATCATCTGAGTTTATGTTTCTTCTTTCTGATGGCTGGTCTCTTATCTGCTCAAGACAGTGGAGCAGCTTCTGTCACCGCATTGAACATTTCCAATCGGCCACTTGTATCGTCCACGTCTTTAAAGTGGAAATCCAAATATAGAGTAGTTTTGCTTTCTTCTTTTCTACTTTTGAAGACATAATTAAGATTGTGTGTGCATATTTATGCGATCGAGGGAATATTTAATACCCCAGGCCTAAAGTTTGTCCTGTGGATGATAAGTTTTAGCCCTGAAGCATTCATTATAGACCTACATACATTACAACGGAGTTAAAAGCATTCGGATTAGAAGTAGAGGATAATAGTTGAGGATTTTATAACATACTGTTTCATTAAATGTTCATTGTGGTGACAATATGGTGCAGTATGAACATCTTTGTGCATATGTGCAGTTTTATAGAAATATAGTACAACATAATGCACTGAATTTAAATGAATTTTCATACGTAACAAAAAAGTATGTTGGTGGTAAAGTCATGGTATTGGATTGGACGATTACCATATTTATATACCATAGCATTTACATGCTATATCAAGAAAACCATGGCAATCAAAAACAATCAAAATCATGTTGTTTGTTAGTTTTACCATGTTGTTTTTTTACATAGTACCATGTCCATTAATCATGGTTAGTTTCATTTAAAGATACTGATCAGGTTTCTCAAACAGGGGGCCTAGGATTACTTAAAAATATTAAATAAATACTTTTTTAATAAATATAATTTATATAATTCATTTTAATTGTTACATTTTACATTTGTAAAATTGTTACATTTGTATTAATTGTGAACAATTAATTAATTAACTAAATTATTAAAAATAAACATTAAAATGCATAAATTCTAGATGTAATCTAAAATCACATTTCTTTTTATTTTCCTTTAATAACTACTGTTTGTACTGAAGAACATGCAGTTCTGGAATACAGAACATAACTTAAGAGATCACAAAATGAATTGTGGTTAATTTAATATATTAAATTATTTAACTATGTTAAATTCAGTATATCAATAAAAAATTTCAAAATAATCAGTTTTGTCATAACTACAGCAGAAATATATGTGATCTACCAGTGATCTAGTTAGTGTTTTTGAAATATAGGACATGTTTAGTATTTTTACGTTTAAATGTTTTGTTCTTGTACACTTTAACCACAGCAAGTGTTAAAGGAGTTAGTTCACACAAAAATAAAAATGTTGTCATCGTTTACTCACACTCACTTACTGTTTGAATTTCCCCATTGACTTACGTAGTATGAAAAAAAAAATACTATGGACATCAATGGCTACCGTCAACTGCTTGGTTACCAACGTTCTTCAAAATGTATTTTGTGTTCAACAGAAGAAAGAAACTCATACAGGTTTGCAACAACTTGTGAGTAAATGATAACAGAAGTTTCATTTTTGTGTGAACTATCCTTTTAATATAATTAGGTGGATTAAAGAATGGTCTCTATGTCATATAATCAGCTATGAATGAACATGTAAACGGCTGCTGATGCACACCATATGTGTTTAGGTTGTGAGTTTTACAGTAAATGATATTAGTCTTAGCACACATGAGGCAAGAGAAGCCAGCGCGTTACATGGATCAGGACAGCTACCGTGTGATGGGCATCTGTGTGCAGGAGGCTGATGTCATGATCTGTCACGCACTTCGTTTCAGGACAATAGGGGCGCAGCTGCTCGCCTCACCTGCCACATCCAGTACACAGCTGTCTCCAACCGCCATCCAAAAACATATCAAAATCTGCCGCCCTTTATTTTTGGCCTTATGCCACTTTGATTGTTTAGAGATTGGATCGAAAACAACACACCAGACTCAAATCTGCATCGCCCACATGAGCACCAGAGCACAACATGTCAGAACACAAATGGTGCAGGTTGATGTGTAATAATTATAAGTTGAATTTAATTTAATCATTAAAATATGAGTCCTCTAGCAATATTACAGATAGAGGACTCATATTTTAGCCAGAAGCAATGGCTTGAAGTTAAAAGCTTCAATGATGGATTAATGATTAATGATCCATCTTAATGATGGATTTGTTTCTTACAAACACGCAGCTTTTCACTTCACAAGACATTAACTGATAGACTGGAGTGGTGGGGATTACTTGTGGATCACTGTGATGTTTTTATCAGCTGTTTGGACTCTCATTCTGATGGCACCCATTCACTGCAGAGGATCCATTGGTGAGCAAGTGATGCAATACTACATTTCTCCAAATCTGTTCCCATGAAGACACATGCTCACCTATGTCTTGGATGGCCTGAGAGTGAGTACATTTTCAGCAAATTGTCATATTTAGTTGAACTATTCCTTTAAATGATTCTCAAACTTTTTGACTCTGAGGCCCTCATTGTCCACAAAGGCCCCCTGACTTTTCCAGTTGTTCATGATTTACTGGATATAAGGAAAAGGATCTTTGCTTACAATTTCTATCTGATAAAATATTTTAGAGCTTGGCATAGATAGAACAATTTATATTTATTGTAAAAATGCCCAATCCGTAAATTGTTTTATTAATTTCTATTACTAGACCTTTTTCCAGGTCTAGAAATCACACTTTTAAAACTAGGCTTCCTCATATATCCAGGTTTTCCAAGGCAGTGGGAAACCTGTAAAGCTGTTGAGGGGGTGAATTAAAATAAGAAATATATTCATTTTTTTTTTATCTGATTTGAAAGCAATTAACACCTATTAACATTTAACACTGTCCTGCAGCATATTTGCTGAATAAAATTGCTTGTTCCTTACTAATTTTGGGTGCTGATTCCAAATAGTGCCTGTTTTGCTTAAGCACATCACACTTTCTCACAAAATATGATGTCTTTCATTGCATTTTTGCTTTTACAACCATCTGTAAAGTGAGGAAGTTATTTTATGCCTAATCCTGATTTCCACTTTCTCCAGTCCTTTGAGATTGTAAATTAAATTACATATTTTGAATTATTTTTTTGTAATTAACCTTTTTTTTTTTTTTTTTGATAAGTGCATTAAAGTTTTTATATATATAAATTTGAACAATCTTCATTCCTATTTTATGAAAAATAATATTGTATGTGGTGGAAAGTTTTTATTGATATTTTTGAATTCAGCATTATAAAATTAGGTAATATTAGGGCTTTTTTAATGAGTTCATATTGAGATCTCTGATATTCATTCTGAGAAATCTGAAAAGCAGGACACTGTCCATTATACTCATTTAATTCATCTTCCTGAAGTCTAAGAGAAATGATTGAGATATTAAACACGTTAGCATTATTCACCTCTGTGGATTTTTCCCATATGCCTTTAATAAGAATTTAATTTATACAGCGATAAATATTTCCGGCGACTTATAGATATGTACTCTTGTGCAATTAGTAGCATGTTCTCCCTAGTAGCTGTGGATTATCCCACTCTCTATTGGCCCTAAAAATCAATAGAAAATCATTAAACAGTTAAATAGGTACTCAAGCAAAAGCCCTGGCATATTCTACACCTCAAACTGGCTGAACCTGAGGGGCCACGTTTCTGAAGATAAGCCGAGAGGATGGGCCCAGCTGGTGGGCACCACCGTCAGCCGCTCCACACTCTAATAATCCCGCTGTATTTGTTACACCCGACTCGAAGCGCCGGCCCTTATAGGGCCCTGCTTCAGGTCTGCATGTCATTAGCATGCTGTGTTTGAAGATAGGCCCTGTGTGTTATTATGATCTAATGAAAGCGAAAGGAGAGTGGAACCTTTAAATTCCACCGGGAGTATTAAAGTCGACAGGCCGCGCACGTAGCCTATCTCCGTGCTCCCGAATGGCCTGGAAGTGGCCAATGCATTTGAAATCATGTCATGTGCATGTGAGAAAGCCATAGCAACATATGCACGGGACGAACTTGCAAGTGCGATACAAATTTAATGCAATGCACTTTCTTTGAGCTGTAGGTTTGATTTTGGCATTGGTGGGGACATAACGGCAGACAACAGAGATTTAATTGTTTGATCAAAATTATTGCTAGGGACAATTTAGTAGTTGCTGGATATTGGTAGGGACATGTCATAGCATCTCTACTAAATTCTACACCCTTGTTTAAAGGTGTTTTTTTTTTTTTTTAACTGTACTAAAGCATAAAAATACAATAATATTTAGCAGATATTTAGGAAACATGCTAAGTTCACATACTTGTTTGTTAGAAAAACAATGCTACAGCCAGTTATTCTACTTTAAAATGTGGGTTACGTGTCGGAATGTCTGTTTTTGTTTTGATCTGCGTGATTCCACCCACTGGCAATTTACACAATATTATTTCGACACTCTGTGTTGCCAGTTGGTGGAAAACAGCCATGGAAGCCAGCAAACGAACAGGGTCAGAGATCGCACATTCTACCTGACCTAAAAAGCCTCAGCATCCATCTAAAAAGTTCTTTGATCGGTGGCATATTAAAACACGGATAAATCAACTCATCAGCTTAAGGCTCGTTGCTTTCCATTATCAATTGCACTTGTTCTTGTTGTGTGTCCTCAATGTGGCAACCCGAGTGAGCATCCAGTCTGATGGGGAGGAGGGGGCGGGACAAACAACTCTCTCCAGTATTTTGATTTTAGACTGCAGTACCCATTTAAACCGCTAGCTGTCAATATAAGAAAATGGACTCAAAGCTCTTGACAATATATGGCTGTAAATGGCAATAAATGGCACAATGGCACGAATTATTGTGAAGAACTACAGGTGTTTTTGGACTGACACCGGCTTTGGTAAACTGCAGTTTTAAGGAGAAAATGCTCAGAAATGGTGTTGACTGATA